TGGGAGCGTCATCACTGGATTCTCGCAGCAGCCGTCGAACGAGGCTTCGACGAAGAAGAGAGAGACTCCAATCATGACCGAGCGCTCTTGAAGGCCAAGCGGAAACTGTGGAGGTCGTACGTCACTGATCGGAACAAGCGTGCTGACCGTCTCCGCATTATGTACCGTGATCAGTACATGCAGTGGTGTATGGAGTCGGCTACAGCTACGCGTCGGACTTTCATCCGTCCTGAGATGATTTTCGAGCCGACTATTCCGCCGTACCCGATCGAGAACATGTCGTTCGTCCCTCGGAGTACAGACTGGTTGTCGGAGGTTCCAACTCTGGATGACCGGCAGCCTAGGAGAGCTGGCTGGATGAACGCTGCTCACCAGCATCCGTACAACACCACGTTCTTCCCGTGCCAGAACAATGCCGAGTTCTTCTACCCTCGTGGCACGCGTTTTGTCGACACGTATCGCAGCGTCGTGGTTGATCCAGCGCTTCAGCCACCTGAGCTCATTCCAGACTGGCGCACTATTTTCGACACGCCGTCGGGTACGCCTTTCTATACTCGGCCTGTTGCTTCTGCTGGTGGCGGTGCCGAAGATTCTCTGGCTCCTGTTGCTCCGCCGGCTGCTCGACCATCTCCTCCTTATGAAGAAGAGAAGGAGAGTGGTGGATCACCGTCGTTGAGTCTGTTGGCGGACGCGGCCAGGCGTTTGTCCTCCAGTTGAAGCCTCGGTGTTTCTCCCACACGATCTTCTTTTGTCCAAGCAAGCTGTCGCAGGTATTCCCGATCATTCGTTCGCAGTAGTCGTAGCTTGCCTTGCGTTCATGTTTTCTTTCTTAACCCACATCCCACTTCGTACCCATGTTCATGTTGTTCATCATATGCATATACAGATCGTGTTGGTGCAGTAACTCTTTTCGTCTGTCACCACAGGCTGTACCGCCCTGTGGTCAGTTCACACGTGACCATGTCACGCTAGTCTTCGCCCGCGACTTGAACCATCTGCAGCCGATATTCGCTCTTCTTGGCCCGCAGATAATCCTACAGTAAGCCACCACATGAAAAATTTGATGGTGGTTCCCAAGTTGGCTCGTTATAGCCGACCCACTTGACTCTGAACTCTCGTACAGCGCGTTCAGTGCTCGTTGACAGTGGCGTTCGGTCATCAAGAATGGCCTCGACCTCGTATTCACCCGCGAGATGGTCTGGCTCCCAGCTGTCTTCTGGCAGTAACTCTTCGTCGAAATCTAGCCGTGAGTCTTCAGTCACGTCTGACGTCAGCTGAACCTTCGGTCGACTAGGGAATTCATTCGCAGCTGTCAGTCTCGATACATGCACCACCGGATAGAAGCGGTATCCACTCTTGTCACGCAACTCCAGCTCATATGCAAACTCCTCCACCTTGCGTTTGATCCGGAATGGTCCATGCCAACGATGAGCGAGCTTCTTGGTTAGGCCAGGTTTAATGCGCTCCATGTAGAGCCACACACGACTTCCAATCTCAAAAAGAGACTTTGGTGGTCCGCCCACAGAATCATCCGTCCCCGGCGGACCTTCTGGGCTCACAGCCGAATGTTCAGTCCCACCTTGGATCGGTACAACAGTTTCCTCCAGTCGACTCAGTGCGTCATTGTGTTCCTTGGCTCGTCGCTCATTCTCAGCTGCTTGGTACCCCTTGGCCATAGTCAGGGCGACCTCCTGTTGTCGATTAAACTCGCGTTGCCACGCCAGTGCATCGCACTGCCTACCGGATCGTCGTTTGAGGGACGAGGTCATT